AAAAGAATTTACAACCGTGTTAGTGCATCAATGACATCTCCAAACTCCACATCACTGATAATATCATGATCTAACGAAATTGACCTAAAATCATATACCTATCTTTTAATTTGTTGATACTACTTTCAGTATTATCAAAAATCCTACCATTCCTCTCCTTCCAAATAATCCAAAAAACTATCAATGGAATCAAGTTCACATATTTATTTTTACAGATAGTCCATCCCATGCCCAAATCTCCTCTCTAACAGACCCAGCAATAACCCACTTAATCCCAACAAACCATAGATCATACACCACAAACTGTGCACAAACGGACACCACAACAGAAGATGACTGCAATTTTCCTCGGCTTGAAGACAACAGATGCAGCCATTAACCAGGATCTTTCCTCTTATTTTCAGTTTATCAATTGTCAAGATTCGTTCTCAACAAGCTTCCCAAGCAAGAAAGCAATTCGGGGGAGAACTTTTGTTTTCCAGATTTGTTTTGCTGGGAAGATAACCCTACCCACACCAATCATTCTATGTAGGAATTTGTAGTATGAACGGACCAAGAACACTCCATTATTCCCAAGTTTCCACCAGATTTGGTCCTCACACGTAGATACCTTATGCTTATCAAGAATCTGCATTAACTCTAGAAACTCACTCACCTCCTAATTATTCAAATTCCTGAATACTTTGATGTCCCACACAGCTCTATTATTCACAAATTGGACAGCATCTCCTACTCGCAAATTCTTGAGATGAGCAATGCTGAAAATACTGGGAAATAAACTTCTAAGACAACCCATCCCGCACCAATCATCATCCCATAAGTAAATCTTGTTGCCTCTGCCCAATTTCCTAGAAAAACATTACTGAAAATTGGTCCATTGCATCATAATTTTTCTCCACAGTCCTCTCCCATGAGGGATGGTAATCCTACAGCCAGTCCTGCTCATCATGAAATTACCCCATCTCGAATGTAAAATACGCCTCCACAAACTGGTTTCTTCTTTCAAGTATTTCCACAACCATTTGTCATGTAAAGCCATATTCATGTCACCCAATGATCGAATTCCCAACCTCCCCAAATTGGGAGGCCCTTTGATACAGTCCCACTTTACTAAATGGTATTTCCTAGCCTCATCATCATCACCCCAAAAAATCTATATTGAATTGTTTCCAATCTTTTCCCCACCTTGGAAGGGATGGTAATTGTTGATAAATAGTATATTGGGAGATTAGATAAAGTGCTCTTGATTAATGTGTATCTCTCACCTTTAGAGAGAAACTTTCTCTTCCACCCAGCAAGTTTTCTTTCAAACAATTCAATCACCAGCTCCCAAAACATGAGATCTTTGTATTTTGCACCAAGTGGACTTCCAAGATATTTAAAAGGAAAATTTACCACCTTATACCCCAAAACAGTAGCACATAGCCCAGCATCCCTGCTGCCACCGATTCTAGCCATTTCAGATTTAAATAAATTTATTTTGAGTCCAAATTTAAAATAAATATCATTCTTGTGCATAAAATAACAAAGGGCCTGCTAAATTAGCATAAAGGAGAATAAATTCTTAAAATAGGACTTCGAGAAGAAAATTTGTCCTAGTTCTTTGTCATGAAAACTTAGCAAGAAGAATATTTTACCCTTTACACCCAAGGCTAACGTCAATATAACTAAACTAACAGTGTAAACTCAGAGTTTTGTGATAAAGAAAGGAAAAGGAAAAAAAAAAATAAAGAACGAAGCATTGTGGTAGAAACATGCCAAACAACATAAGGCTTATTTTTTATTTTGGTCTATATTTAAAGCATGTTTGCTTCCCTGTAGAAAGCCTCGTAATGTAGACAATCTAGTAATTAGCTTTAATTATATTGTTTATATCAAATACTATGTAACGAAATTTTATAATGTAATCATGATTAAACTTTTGGCTTTAATCATCATTACAACCCCTAAACCTGGTGATGTGGTAAGTTGAGAGAGACAGAACGGCAGGAGGACATCACCGAGAGAAGAATCAAATAAGAAACAGACATATTTAACACAGAGAGTGAGAAGAAGCTGAGAGAGGAGATAGCAGAAACAATTCCAATTTCATCCTTAACACCATCACAAGATGGTTCATTCCTCTTTTATAGTCCTAGTCCGTAACGAATCTACTAACTAACTACTGACTAACTATTTCCCACATATTAATACTCCTCCCCAAAAGCCACCTTGTCCTCAAGGTTGAAAATGAATCTACAGGTCTTATTAATCGAACCAGAAGCTGTTATCCTAGCTAGACATCTGTTCCTTTTGTTGTGCTCCCCCAAATTTTGGATCTGTAAAGCGGGACAGATTATTTATTTAGGTAAAGTTTGTTATGTAATCAGACATCCTTAGAAGGATTCCAACCAAGTCCTGCTTGTGAGAGTGTAACACCCAAAAAATTATTATTTTTATTTTTTAATTTATTTTAATTTATATTAGAATTTTAGTTTAATCTTGTATATATTTAATTTATAAGGTTTTAAATTAATTTAATTTAATTTAATAAAAATAAAAATAATGATAATGATAAAATTGGGTAAAATTATTTTTTGTATTTAATTAAAATTGATTTTGGAAAAAAATTGTGAAAATTTGGATTTTGGGGGTGTTTTTGAAAAGAAAATCGGAAATCGATGGTCAAAACGCAATATAGAAAAGTTGTGCCACGTCAACAGCCATGTCAGCAGCCCAGTCAGCAGCCCCGGCTAACCAAGACACGCCACGTGGCAAGGAACACTGACGCGGGACGGGCCCACGTGGGCGATCCACTTGTGCGTGATCGGGCGGCTCATATCCGTTCCCGCGCACACGGACGGCCCAGATCTCACGCGTACGGACGCCCCAGATTCAATCAGGCACGGACAACTCAGATCGCATCGCGATGGACGGCTCAGATTTAATCCCAAAAAAATCGCAATCGGATGGTCCATATTAAATCTTGATGTACGGTTGATATTAAAAGGGGAATGGTATAAATAACCTCATCCACACCCGACCACAAACCCTAACCGCCAGTGCCTCGCCGGAGAAGCCGGCCGTCGCCACCCGCTGCCGCACCGGAAAATTTTCCGACCGCCAAACAAGGTAAATTTTTTCCCTTTGGCTCGTTTTTCGATACTGAATTCGTCTATAGCCAAATCGGAGCCAAACCACTGGCCAATCGGCCGAAAAACACCGCCGAAGTCCAGCGGCGCCGCCGCGACTTCCCTATGTTTTTGCCTCCGATGAGGCCCTTCCTGGTCTCCGTTCGATGCAATTTTTATACCACTGTGATCATCGTCCTTTTCTCTACAGGTTGATCGGAATAAAATATCAAAACGCGACTCACGCCGGAGAAGCCGCCGCACCCGAGAGTACCACCGCCGGTAAGTCTCAGTTTTTCGTGATTTTTTGGCCCACCGAGGGCCCTAAGATTGTTTTATTGCAGGGACCAATGCAAGTTTGGCCGAATTTGGCCGAAAACGGCCATCGCTGGATCACGGCGGAGCCGCTGTGCCGGAATTCCGATATTGGCCGAAAGGGGCCCTAGGTCTGATTTGGGATCTTTTGGGACACGTATAGGTACCGGTAGTGCATTTCAGTTTCCCGAAAAAAATTCAGGGAATTTAGGGACAGCCCGTAAACGTACTGTAGAGCCGATTTCAGACCCCGAAACAAATAAGGATCTCTCATCCTATTTCCTATCACGGCATTAAAGCTTAATAAATAATTAAACGGTATTTTGTGACTTTATAGATATGTATAATTGATTGAGGTTGCCAATGAAACCCAAATCTGATACATTGTTGGTCAGTTGTTGTTTTATCTTATTTTCAGTATTAAGTGCAGTATGATATTTGATGTAATTATTTTATGGTCTCGTATGCATAAATCATGGTTTTTTTTATTATGGTTTGTATTATGGTGAACCCGATACTGTGTTGTCTTATTTGGTATCAATTACTGGTTTACATGTTTGTGTATGATTGGATGATTGAGATTAAGGAAAATGGCAAAAAGGTTATGTGAATTGATAAATGGATAATGTGGACAGCCTGACTAGATATCCTGAGAGATAGTGGACGGACCGGATCCGTAGGGAACCCTACCGGGAACGTGGTCTCTCATACCGGACGAAATATGGAGACCTTATGTGTTTTGGCGCCCATACCGGACGGGGTATAGGGACGGCCCGTTTCACCCACATACCGGATGGGGTATTGAGGTTTATGGTTTTAGCGCCCATACCGGACGGGGTATGGGGACGGTCCTGGAATCAGGTTATTAATGTTAATGGTTCACGTGTAACGGGGACCCCCTATGGATCCCCATGGATACTAGTACGCTGGTAAAAGAGGAAATTTGTTGTCTGATTATTGAAGTGCAAAGTATGAATGTGTTCTGTTACAAAGTC